CTCAAGGTATGTGAACCAGAGTCCATTCTTTGAAGTGGTGCAATTTGACTTGAATTTTGTCTAAGTATCTTTGCATCCTGTCTTCCCGAACCTCGAAGCTTCCATTTACCTGATTTACCGCCAGGAGGGAATCGCATTTTGCTTCAAAGACTTCAGCTCCTACGCCTTTGGCCAATTCTAGACCTGCAATCATAGCCTCATACTCGGCTTCATTGTTAGTTAACCTTGCGGTTTTTATAGATTGTCTAATCACGCTGCCCGTAGGTGGCTTTAGAACTATGCCGAGCACGGATCCTCTTACGTTCCAGGCGCCATCAGTGAACAGGGTCCATATCCCGGAAGATGTGCCCTTTTTTTAGCAAAAGTTCTTTCTCGACCTCGGGTACGAGGGAGGGAGTAAAGGCGGCTACAAAGTCTGCCAAAATTTGAGACTTGATAGTCGTTCGGGGCTGATACTCGATATCATTCTCCCGAGTTCGATGGCCCATTTGGCCAGTCGGCCCGATAATTCGGGTTTATGCAGTATGCTTCGAAGGGGATACGTTTTTAATGTAGACATGTGATTTTTGACCCTCCCAAGATTTTACATATTTTAGCATTTAATTATTTATTTTAGGCCTAATATCGATATTTCAATTAGTTTTGAATCTTTTACTTTATTTTATCAAAAAATAAAAATTACAAAAATATTTCTTCTTTTAAGTTGCTGTTAGTTTATATACCTTTCGTAAAACTAAAAAAAATAACAAAAAATAGTACCTTATTTTTATTTTAATATGATATTTGAAAAATACAAAAAAAAATACGTTTGTTTTAATGGTTAGTCTTATTTTAATAGTTATTTTATTTATGTAGGATTAATTAGTAAATAAGGTAGTATTTTAGTCTTGTTCACGGAGAAAGAATAAAAATTTGGGCTAAGCGACCCATTTTTAGGCCTAATTTTTGAACCTAGCCCATAACAACCCAAGCCCAATGCCCCTAAAACCCTAAAAAGAGACATAAAAAGGACAACCCTAGGGACCTATAAAACGACAAGACCTAACGCCTAAGGAGCTGACAGCCGCTGACACCCAAAGCCCCCCCCCCCCCCCCCCGATCGTTTCTTCTCTTCTTCTTCAAAGGATTAGCAGTTGACCAAGACCTATACACACAAGAAAATCCGCCTCTAATCACCCATCGAGAACCCCTATCCGTTCTGCTTCTTCTTCAACAAAACACCCACCCCTTCACCATTGATAAAACCAACAGTAGCTCCCTCACCTCATCTCACCTCGCCGCCCGTTTCCACCCAAACCCGCCGGAATAGACCACCTCCCACCCAAGAAGCAACCGCCGCTCCTCACTGCTCGCACAGATACACACCAACAGAAGCAAAAAACAGAGTGAGAAGGGGACAACCTGATTTTAATCCAACAAAAACAAACGGAGAAGTTTCTGCCTCTTCTCTTCGGTTTCAATTTCGATTTTAAGTTTCAAATTTATAGGGTCCATTTTGAAGTTCGTTCGGTGAGTTGTTCGAGGTTGAGCGCTGGAGACGTTCGAGGTCGTCGAGTCCCTGTTCCGGTTGTGGTCATTTTTCGATAAAGGGAGAGATATCTATGATGAAGATTGTTAGACATCCTTGCATAGTTCGGCTTCACGAGGTTTTAGCTAGCCAGACAAAAGTATATATCATTCAGGAGTTTGTCACTGGAGGAGAGCCTTTTGATAAAATTGTAAGATTCCTTCAGAATTTTCAATAAGGTTATTAAATCATTAAATCAATAACTCTTGTAGACTTGCTGTTAGATTTTCATTGTATATGATAATAACTTGATAGCTTTCTATTTGATAATGACTGGAAACGTATCTGTAAATGAGAATAGAGGTACGACTGAGGCACTATTGCAATTACTGTGCATGCCTATGACGAGCTTCTATGAATTGATACTCTTCATTTATCTGGATAAGTTGTAGCTCTGGGCCACGTTACTTTAATGGAGATTCTGGAAATAGATAATGTAGTGGTCAGCTGGTACACGTTCGCGTGACTTTGGCCAAATAATCTTAATAATAATAATAATATGTTATTAGTTATGTACACGTTCACGTGACGCGAGTACGTTTGTAATAAATGTATATTCGTAGAAAAGCCTATAGGCGCGTTTAAAATACAATTGTGATTGTGTACACGTTCGCGTGACATAATTACCATTCTAAAAACTAATTCGGAGTATGCGTTCGCGCAACTTCGACCAAACTTTTGCAATAACAATAAGTTTGTTATTAATATAGTCCTCTCTAATTAAATGTAGTTCGTTAGGCCGAGGTGCACCACCCATAATCGAATCCCTATGGCCCTCATGTTAATTTTATAACTTAGACATTAAGATGATATTCGTAGTTTGCTTTAGGCACCTTTAATCCACCATCGTGGTTGTGTACACATTCGCGTGACATAATTACGATTTTAAAAATAAAATCGGAGTATGAGTTCGCGCAACTTCGACTAAACTTTTTTTTAATAACAAAGCGTTATTAATTGTGGACACGTTCGCGTGACATGATTTTTGATGCACCAAACAAATGGGTACACGTACGCGTGACCTGTTTTAAGATAATTTCTTTATTAAAAGGCAAATGCACATAGGTTCTAAAATTGAGTAATAGAACAATTTGATTAAGCCAAGTATGATCAAAGCGACCGTGCTAAAACCACGGAACTTGAGAATGCCTAACACCTTCTCCCGGGTTAACAGAATTCCTTACCCGGATTTCTGTGTTCGCAGACCGTAAATAGAGTCAAACTTCGTCGATTCGGAATTTTAAACAGGTGACTTGGGACACCATAAATTATCCCAAGTGGCGACTCTGAAATTAATATAAATAATCCCATTTCGATTGTCACTTAAATTGGAAAAACTCCCTTATACTCCCTTTCGGGGGTAGTAAGAAGGAGGTGTGACAGCTTTGGCAACTCTGCTGGGGATAGGAACCCAAATATATTGCTTGGCTTTATTTATTGTTAATATTATTGTATATTTGTGAACCCAATGTGCTAATTGCCATTTATTTGCCATTTCAATATATTGCTTGAATGTTATTAAAATGCCTTCTTACGCCAACCTTCTGAGTCTTCTTAAATTTGGCGCACACATTCGCATGGCCCACTTTCTGTTAGAAGTCATACCAATTAAAACGGGGCATGGGTCAGCAACAAGGCCGGGCAGACTTTCGTGCTCCCGGTACGTTGCTCCCACCTCGGCTCGAGCTGTCCGCTCGGGTAAGCCCAGTCTAGAACACAATCCCAGGTTTAAACCTAGAAGAACATAACCTCATGCCGGATCCCTAGTAGGCACGTTTGTTTGCATCATGTGCATTTGACTTAGGGGACTCAACACAGGTGTTGGGTCCGTCTAGGACAGGTCTACCCAAAAATAAAAGACCATCCTGATGCATCATATGTGCTACATGTTGCATTTCTTCAAGGGTAAAAGGGTCATTTGGCGGACCAATGATGGCTGAGGTAAAAAAGAAAGAAAAGAGGGTGAAGTGTGAAAATGAAGCAAGTAGGACCCAGTTATGTTTTTCTTTCCCATTTTTTTTAAGAAAAAGACAAAAAAAAATTTTGAAAAATCCAAAAAGATTTTGCACTTTCCCATTATTTTTCGAAAAATAAAAGAAAACCCAAAAAGAGTTTACATGTTTCATCATTTTTCAAAAAAAAAAAGACAAAAAATATATTTTCTCTAAATTAGTTATTTTTTTTTAGATACTCGACCGTATCCAATCTGCCCGAACTACGCATACCCGATTCTCGTCTTTGCGGGATACGTAGGCAGCTCACATAGGGTCCGGTCTTCTTAGTTAAGTCTTAGGTTCTTGGCTTCGCGGGGTCTTAGCCAAATCTTGCACTTCTAGCTGCCTTTTGGCCACATAAGCCATTTTGCAAAACTAGCCTCAATCATATCTTGCATGTGTCCGATAGGAAGTTTTATTGTCTCACATAGAGTTTTAAGTCTTTATGTTGTCTTAATTTTCTCATACAGGTGTGGATCTACTTACCGGAGTTTGGGCATGACAGACGCCTTAGGGCCATCCAGTCAGGGTCGATCATTCAGGAGTTTGCTTAAGGAGATTTTTTTTATTATATTTTGAGTCTGTTGTTCTTTTTAATGTCGTCTTTTTCTTTCTAGTTTTGTACAGTAATGTCGAGTTTTTTTGTTATTATACTTTTTGTTTTGTATTTGAAAAAGTGTGTTATAAATCAAAAATTAAAAAAAAAAAGAGATTTTGTGTTTTTATATTTCCGTTCGAAGTTTTCTTTAGAATACTAATTCTAGAAATTAAAAAAAAAATTCAGTTGAGGTGGTTTTCCTTTAGGAAATTAATATCTAGAACTCAAAATGAAAAATTGCTTTTATATTTCTTTTAGTACATTAAGACTAAAAATTCCCCCCAAAAAAAAGAATTTTCTTTTAGTACCTCTTTAATGGTTTTCTTTTAAGATATTAATTCCAAAAATACAAAAAGATTTTCTTTTGAGGTTCTTCTTTCGGAAATTAACGAAAAAAAAATTCTTTCTATTTTCACTAGCACTTTAGGACATTGTACATAGAAGAAAAAAAAATAACATACTTTATCTTTTGTTTATCTTTAAAGTTTCTTCCTTAGGTAATCAAAAACTGAAATTCAAAAAATATTTTGTATCTTTTTCATTGGTTGTTTCGTAATCTTTCTTCAGGATATCAAATGAAAATTCAAAATATTTTTCTTTGGTATGTTCTTTGGATTTCCTTCCTAAAAAAAAAAGAAATCAAAAAAAAATATTTTTTCTCTTCTAGGATTGTTTTCCTTAATAATTTCCCATAGAGTATTTGTTTCAAAAAGAAAAAAAAGAGAAAAAATATGCCCGCTAAGCTTGAGTTAAAATATTTGCTTCTTTTATTTCCCTTTTCTCGTCAGAGTAATCAAAAAAAAAAAAGAATCAGTTTCTCTCTCCAAACAAACTACTCTCCATGGATCCTCAACCCTATGAACTTTCACCCTCAATTCCACCAAAACCCCCAGATAATTACTTAAACAACTCTACTCCAAACAATTCAAGGACTAAATCCTCATTCAAGGACATGCTTGTTGCCTCTGATCCAATGAGTTTTGCCCAAAACCTAGCACTGTCAGGCATGGATCTAACAAACATAGCCATAGAAGAGGAATCGTCCATGCAATTATCAAACAGTACTGCACGAGGCATCAAACAAATTGCTTTAACGGAAGATGATAGGCAGCGTATTTATGAGCCTTGGAAATGTTCAATCATTATTAAGTTAGTTGGAAAAAGAATGTTTCACCAATATTTAAACAAGAAAATCCAAGAACTTTGGCACCAAACAGAAGATCTTTCCCTTATTGATCTTGGAGAAGATTACTACATTATAAAATTTCGTAAAAAGAAAAATATGGAAAAGGCTATCAACCAAGGACCTTGGTTCATCAATGGACATTTCCTCTCAATAATTAAATGGAGACCAAACTTTATGGCTACAAAGGAAAGATTAACAACCTCAGCTGTATGGATTAGACTGCCCCATCTTCCAACGGAATTTTATGATTCAAAAATTTTAGAAAAAATTGGAAACGCCATTGGACGATTACTAAAAATCGATGTCTGTACATCAACCACTTTAAGAGGTCGTTATGCAAGAATTTGTGTAGAAATCCCATTGGATATTCCTGTACAACCCTTTCTTTACATTGGACTACACAAACAATACATTTACTATGAAGGGAAAGATTACTTATGCAAAAAATGTGGTAGATTTGGTCATACAATGGATCATTGTAGCTATATTCTAAAAACACCGGAAAATACAAATTCAGCTGATGACCAACCTACTCAACCAATGAAGAACATGGAGGAAGGATGGAAAACAGTTTCTTTTAGCAAAGGAAGGAAGCATATGGCAAAAAGTTCAAGACCAATTCTTACAAATCCAATCAATCATCCCAAAAGTCAAGGTATCTCGATAAATCTCTTCAATGCCAATACTGGTAAGTTCTTAAACAACCAACTACTTCATTATAAACCTAAAGAATCCCCAAGTGTTCACCCCCAAAAAAATCCATGATCATGTCTAAGTCTGATCAAACCTCTATGGCCAGGGAAAACCATTTTTCCATCTACAAGAAGAGCAAATGGTTTTGGAGGATACCATTGATCTTCCTCTTAATAATAAATTAAAAAATGTTAACCTTAATCCTTCAACACACTTGTCCTCACACTATGAGGAACCAGCCATGCTGGATTCAAACGTGGCAAAAATAATTAATAAAGAAAAGAATATGAAAAAACCTGCCATGCAAATTAACACTAAAACGGACAAAAATACCCCCCCTACTAATGATAACTCTACTAATCCTCTTAAGATACAAAAACAATTTTCTGGTGATAATCTCCTTTTAGACAAAATCCAAAACCAAAATATTTCCCTTGGATTTGATAATATATCCTGCCCTGGGCATGCAAGCCAAATGGCAAAAAATACCCAAGGCAATGGACAAATGTCCCATGCACTCGAAGAAGATCTTGTTAATACAACTATGAAGGATATCCATATAAACCAATATATTGGGCAACCAAAAGACTTGCAATCATCACCTACCTTTCCCCTAACGCCCAATCAATTGGCTACCGCCAGTAGCCTCGAACCCACGCCTAATTCCACTTCCATAAACTCTCAAACAACCTTTAAAAATGCCCAGACTTCCATCAACCCTAAGAAGGAGGAACAGATTGATCCAAATTCTACGACAACACAGACCAAACTCCATGGAGAGCATTCCACTCTTTCCACCACTAGAAAACCCTCAAATCATCTATGCACAACCACCACAGGCACAGGATTATCAACCTGCCTCGTGGATGGAACTAGGTCTAACGGGCCATGCAATCTTGTTCAATGTCATAATCAATGGACAGGAAGCCATTGTAATCCTTCACAATACTCAGTACCTAGCTCAGCTACTAACAGAGGGGATGAGGCTTGCTATGAACAATTACCTAAACCAAATGTAGTTAAACAATATCCTCCAACCTTTGATGCGCTCATTGAACCCACAAATGATGCATGCAATGATGCATCAATGGAACATGCCTCCACATTTCAACCCAATTCACCCTCAAAATGCTCCATTGGAGATGACCTTCTTCCCAACGGAGATGTACACTCATCTGAAACCTATTTTTCTGCCATGGGAGGTCCCAGTTCCTCAAAACCAACCTCACCCACCCATGCAGCAACATGCACCACCCCCTCAGGAACAAGAAAACCAAGTACCAGGTCCAGTAAAGGCAGCAATGGAGGAGGAGGAAGATCCTATCAACCTTGTCTTAGAGCGAGTCCTAGAGTTCTCAAGTCTAGACGGGATTAAGGTCTTACTCTTTAGGGAGATGCAAGAGAAGAGGCACGTATTCAGTTGCCTACTGGCACTCTACAAGTGCTCGATGGATATCAGACCCCCTCCCCCCCCCCCAGGACCCAACAGTGGGCAACAGAGCCATGATACTAGTGCCATCACTGAGAAGGAATCCTGTGTTTCCAGGAGGGATCAGAGAGAACGGGGAGCCAACCAACTTAACCCTTAATCAATCCATGAATCGTCCAACCAATATTATTATATGGAATATACGGGGTGGTAACAATGACAACGTCAAAAGGAATTTCAGGGAGATGGTTGATACTCATAGGCCCTGTCTAGTTATACTTCTTGAAACAAGAATGGACAATCATGCTGAATTACTCAATGACTTTGGTTTTACGGAGTTGATAGAAGTTCCAGCTGAAGGACAATCTGGTGGCATGGTGATGATGTGGAACCATGAGATTGTTAGTGTTCATAATGTTGTTCATAGGAACCAGGAAATACATGCAACAATTGAGGTTAGTCCTATTCGAAAGAAATGGCTTTTTTCTTCAATTTATGCTAGCACTAAGGTTAACAATAGGAACTTAATGTGGGATAACTTAGAACATATTAGCAAGGCCTATAAAGGTCCTTGGATTGTTGGAGGTGATTTCAATGATGTCATTGCTTCAAATGAGAAATTTGGTGGTAGACCTATCAATGACAGTAGGGCAAACTTCATTTGGTCCAAAATTAACTCATGTAATCTTCTAGATTTAGGCTATAAGGGGTGTAAGTATACTTGGTCCAACCTTAGACATAGAAGGAAGGGGCTCTTTATGGAACGTTTGGATAAAATTCTAGGTAATGAAGAATGGATTGAATTGTTCCCTAAAAGCTCAATAATTCACCTACCCAAAACACACTCGGACCATAACCCCCTTCTAATAGAATTAATTCCTAAAAATAGGATTCATCATAATGCTAAATTTAGATTAGAAACCTTCTGGTGCAAGCACCCTGATTTTCAAAATTTTGTTGATAAAAATTGGACAAAGACTGACTATTTGAAAGGCAGTCAAAATTTTCTAAATAATATTAAGCCTTGGAGGAATAGTACTTTTGGTAATATAATGGGAAAGAAAAGGAAACTTCTGGCTAGACTACAAGGGATCTAGAATTCCTCTAAGTATACCACTAGCTTCTTTCTTCAACAATTAGACAAAGACTTAACTAGGGAGTATAACGATATCCTAAAGATTGAGGAAGGCTATTTGAAACTAAGATAGAGGATTTCTTGGCTGAATGAGGGTGACACAAACTCAAAATTTTACCATATTATTGCTACTAATAGAAAAAGAAGAAAGAAAATAAATTTCTTTAAGGATGACAATGGTAGCTGGATCAATGACCATGCTCAAACTATGTCTCATGTTCTAAACTGCTTTGAAAATTCCTTCAAAACTGCTCACTCTTCTAATAAGTGGGAAAACCCTTTAGGTTGCACCTCCTTAAAATAAAAAATTGACCTTATATCCTTAGATGCCCCCTTATTAGATAGTGAAATTAAAAGGGCTTTATTTTTTTTCAAACCCTTTAAAGCCCCCGGACCGGATGGCCTACATCCTTTTTTCTTCCAGAAATATTGGAAAATTGTAGGTCAATCGGTAACAAAGCTTTGTCACAGCATTTCTAATACTCAAACTGTCTCAAGTGAGATCAACAGGACCTACCTATGCCTTATTCCTAAAATTCCTAATGCCAATAATTTTAAAAAATTTCGACCAATTGGTCTTTGTAACACTGTCTATAAAATTATTACAAAAATCCTTTCCAATAGACTAAAGCCCTACCTAGATCTCCTAGTAAGCCCCTTTCAAGCTAGCTTCATGAAGAATAGAAGAGCTGCTGATAATGCAGTTATAATTCAGGAAATAATTTCTAAGTTCAATAAAATGAAAGGAAAACAAGGTCATATGGTGCTAAAAATCGACCTAGAAAAAGCTTTCGATCGATTAGAATGGTCATTTGTCCATTACACCTTGAATTTCTTTAATTTTGCTCCTAAATTTTGTAAGATTTTACTTAGTTTCATCTCAACCAGTAGCATAATTGTTTTAGTAAATGGTTCTGCCACTAAATACTTTGAGCCTAGTCGTGGCATCAGGCAAGGTGACCCCATCTCGCCCTACATTTTTATACTTTGCCTTGAAATGCTGACTAGATACATCAACCACCAAGTTGACACTAGGAATTGGGATCCAATCACCTTAGGAAAAAACTATCCTAGCTTCTCACATCTCTTTTTTGCCGACGACCTTACCCTAATGGCCAAGGTCAACAACAAATCTTGTCATGCCATAAAAAATGGACTTGACCTTTTTTGTAACCTTTCCGGGCAATGCATCAACAACATTAAATCAAAAATACTCTTTTCAAAGAATTGCATCCCCACCCTCATTAGTTCCACCTCTAATGCACTAAGCATAAAGAGTTGTAACCAATTTGGTACCTACTTAGGATTTTCAATTCTTAGCAATTGTCCTAGACCAAGGGACTTTCGATTCATTATTGATAAAATGAGGTCTAGGTTAGCTTCATGGAAATTAAAATACTTTAACCTGGCAGGTAGAACTACCTTAGCTAACTCTTGCCTTAATTCAATTCCCAATCACTATATGCAATACTCCCTCCTACTAAAGAATACTCTCAATAGGATTGACAAAACTTAGAGGGACTTTATATGGGGCAGCACTTTTGAAAAAAGGAAAATTCACCTCATTAGTTGGTCTACGATGTGTCAACCAAAAAAAAAATGGTGGATTAGGCATTCACTCGGCCCAATCAAAGAACTTATGTAACACTAGCATCTCTCTCATGGAGACTTCTAACCAATCCCTTAACTCCTTGGGCACGCTTTATTATCCACACTTATTGTCTAAATAAGAACACTAGCAAAAACTCCTTTATTTGGAAAAGTATCCAAAAGGGATGGGAGATATGTTCAAAAGGCATTACGTGGTCCCCTCACTATTATACCAATATGAACATTTGGGATTCTAATTGGATTAGCAATATGGGTGTCACTCCCCAAAACCGAGGGGCGCGACCGGCACTCGACCGGGTAGCCCCAGTCGAGCGGACCTGGGGTGCCTTTCCTATCCCACGTGTTACCCCGTGTTTTCATTACTCATTAATCAAAGGAAATAGCCATTTATAATTAAAACACCTTTTTATGAAATATACATAACATACATGGTTACTTAGCGTGGTTTACACCTTACATCGCCCAACATACAAAATACATATTACATAAGTTCACAACCCACATTTCCTGTCTACGGAGCCTCTAAGGATGCAAAAGGATGATACAATACTTGCCGGTAACGAGGCTCCGGCTATACCTTACACAAATACCCAAAACAAGACTCCAAAATAAAAGCGGCATGAGCCACGTAGGGCCCCGGGAGCAAAGGGGCTCACCAATTCCGCTGACGGGAAGTGAAGGAGTGCTACGGTCGGTGTACTGGAGCACCTGCTATAGATCCACCTACAATTATAACACGAATGTAGCGCCCCCGGCAAAAGGGACGTCAATACATTTGTATTGTACTGGTATGTATGAACAAACTTTGCCCCAAGTAAACTCAAACAATACACAAGTAACGAGCAGGGATAGAATCAACAATCAAATACACATGAAAGGAACAATAAAGCCAAACAAGTTTCACAATCTCTCTTTTTCCCCTTTCAACATTATCACATCAATGATTTCAATAGTGATTTTGATCACTTTTTCCACCCTTATTACCTC